ATTAACGGCACAACACAAAACGGGATATCACAGTTTTACCGCTCGAGTGGTGAAAGTTACGCTTGAGTGGTTAGCCTATATGCTTCGCACCGCCTTTAGTCACATCGCTCGAGCTGTGAAATGCACGCCCGAGTGGTCTTCGCGATCTAGTTTACTAGAAAGTGTGTTGTTTGCTCGTTTTAGGGTTTGAGCCATCTAGATTTTTAAGGAGGAAGAAAAAAAAAAAGTGCTTTGTATTGGAGGGTGCTTTATGAGTGTTTCCATAATGATTTAAGAATGATCAATAGATCTGTGAACTTTTTATCAACATCATCAAGGGATTTGTTTGTTTTCTTTTATTCACAAAAGAGAGAGTTGTTCTTCGGTAGATTCTAGAAAATTTGGGCCAAAAGTTATTGTAGATTTCGGAGTGGCTCACGTCGTGGATTCGACATCGACGTTGTAGATTCAACGTTGGGCAAGATATTTCTGAGGTGAAGACGGTGGTGGAAGAGGCACATTGGGTTTGGTTCAATTCGGGCATGGATTCGCTAGGTAATTGAGAGTACACTTGTGTAATTTCTTTTTGTCTTCTTAGTAGATTATTTTGTGACTTTTGCCTGTGGTTTTTTTATTACAATTGGAAGAGCTCCAATTATGATTTTTTCACATTAAATCGTTGTGTTGATATGTCTTTAATTGTTTGATTGGGATTGTTATTCATTGTTTTAAATTGAAACATAATCACAAATCAATATTTCTGGGATTTAAGATTTTTTTAACTATGTTTGGAAAAAGTACACTAAGGAGTTTTTGTGTGTTGCATTGATTGGAGTGTTACATTTGAGAAAAATACATTGATTGGAGTGCTACATTTGAGAAAAATACAGCAAGGAGTTTTTTTAGAATGTTACGTTAAAATGTACACTAAGGAGTTAGTGTGTTAAATTGGAGTGTTACGTTTGGGAAAAGTTCACTAAAGAATTTTTGTGTGTTACATTGATTGGAGTGTGACGTTGAGAAAAGTCCACCAAATATTTTTTTTAGTGTGTTATATTAGAGTGTTACGTTTTTTGAGTGTTACATTTAGGAAAACGCTAAGGAGTTTTTTTGAAGTGTTACGTTTAGTAATTTCAACATTATGGGAAACCCACATTTATTCCTCAACACATAGCACACGCACCTTTATACTTAACCCTATATTAATTCACACTAAAATTGGATCTTTCGGTCTATAAGAAAAAAAGGACCAAATAATTCATAATCATTATTTGGGATTTATTAATGGCTCACCCTATATTTATTTTAGTAAGTACATTAGGAAAAATATTATTATATTAGTAACATTTGGTTTCTCAATTGATAGAATATGATAAATTTATATTGACCGTAAAGTGTAAGAGTATTTTTAAAATTTTATGAGATGATGGAGCTACCTAGGCCATATTAGATAATTTACATCAATCAATATAAATTGAAGAGTCACTTGATCAATTCATTTATGAAAATATTTTTTAAATTGGTAAACATACGTCATTAGTACTTTTTTGTTTCATGATAATGTACATATTTATGCATATTTAATAGTTTTGAAAAAATAGATTAAATGTAATATTTCTTTTAAAAGGACTTACATGTAGGTCCTAATAGGTGGACTTTTTGTCTAATAAGTCTTATGATAATTAATGACATTTTTCATTAAATACTATTTAAAAATGTCACTAATTGTTAATTTTCAGTAATAGTTTGAAAATTTTATCACAAAAAGTGTCACTAATTATAAGTTTTGGCGACAATTGAAAAATATCATCACAAAAAATGTCATTAATTTTCAACTTTCAGCTATACTTTGAAAAATTCATCATAGAAAAATGTTACTAATTGTAAGTTTTAGTGACAATTTATAAAAACCGTGATAAAAGAAAAATCACTAATTATTAATTTTTAGCGACGTGCAAAAAGTCGTCATAAAAAATTATTTTTAACCTCAATTTTATTAGGACTTATTTTCAATAGAACTTGATAAGAATTAAGTCCAACTATTAAGACCTATTGATAGTTTAGTCTTTCTTTTACAGTGTTGTAATTATGGTGGTAACTTCCTTGGGAAAATAAAAACAATTAGGAACTTTTGAATTAATGTTCTACATCAATTGTTGATTCACAAAATATTTCCAAAAAAACAGTAGTGATATACAAGCATAAAGTCAATACAAATAATAATAATAATAATAATAATGGTTTGGTTGGATTTTGATCTATCACTTTATAATAAAAGTCTATTGACATGTTTTTTATTATACGAATAACACTATCACGTCATTTTGGGATAAATTTGTGCATAAAAATTATAGTGAAATAATATTTTCCAATAAAAAATGGTTATAAGCAAATAATAATAATAACAATAATAATGATCAGTAGAGAGTAGAGGAAGAAATGATATACTGAATATGAAATGCAAAAACCAAAAATGGTCAAAAGTAAAGAAAGAAAAAATGGTGTAGTTAAAAGATGAAAGAGTCTCTTTAAAGAATGCAAAAGACTAAATATAAACTAACATCCAATTGTCTCATAAAGATAGAGAAAAAATAATGAGTTGTATCATTGCATAAATGTAATATTTATAGGATTAGGAGGGCATGAATGACTTGAAGAATGTGTAATGTATGACAATTAGGGTTTTTGGGTATGAGAAAGAATTGGTTAGAGAAATAATGCACAAGAATGATCTTCTTCATCTTTTCTGTTCTAAATCTTAAATCATGGAATCATTATTAAAAAAAATAATAAATTATGAAAACAAATTATTTTTAGATTATTTTTTAAACTTAAAAATTCATAAATTTAGTATGGGATGTTGAGCTCCAAATCAACCAAAACAATTTAATTATAGGGAAACAATCAAATTAGTTTTCCAAATTAATTATAGGAAAACAAAATCAACAAAATAAAATAATTTAAACATATTTGAATTGATTTTTGTTTAATTTAATTTAAGGAATGAAGGATTTTAGGTAGAGATTTTAAAAAATGGACAAATAAATTGAAAGGTTAACAAACTGTGTTTCTATATTTGATTTTAGAAAATGATTATTTACTATGCAATGATCTTAGAAGCTGGGTTGAAGAGTTTTATTTATTTATTTATTTATTTTTGAAAATTAGGTGAGACACATGAATAGTTTATTATTTTTTTAAATTGAAAAAATCCAAATTAATTATCGAGAAACAAAAACAACCAAACAAAACAATTTAAATAGATTTGAATTGATTTTGTTTAAATCATTTTAAGGAAATATTTTAATTAGAGATTTTAGAAGATGGGCAAATAAATTAGAAGGTCAACAAACCATATTTCTATATTTGATTTTAAGAAAGGATCATCTTTTAGGCAATGATCTTAGGAAATTTTATTTCCACACACTTATTTATCTCTATTCACACACTTAATGAAATATTATTTTAATAACAATTGTACCTTAAAACAAAATTACTATAATGGTCATCAAAATATACCCTTAATATTATATCAAAAAAATTTCAATACACATTTTTTTAAAACAAAAAAATCTCGACGCACATTTTTTGAGCAAAACCCAAATCCTTCAATCCCTTTGCAAAACCCAAATCCTTTTAACACCCCATCCTCTGTTCCCCTTCCAATTGAAACTTCAATTAATCGAATTCAACAACGTCAAGCAAAAAGGGCCACGTGAATTTGATGTTTATGTCAAAGACATAAATTACCTCCTATTAGGTTTGAAAAGCTCTGTTTGGCTTTGTACTAAGGGATTGTTTGGAATGATCTAAATAAGTGTACTTTTTGACTTTTTATGAAATATGAGTTGGGTTTGGATTAGGTTAAGTGATAGGTTAGAGAGGTGATGTGACTTAAATAAGATGATGTGACTTAAATAGGATAGTGACTTTTTGACTTTTTATCTTTTTTAAGACATGCCAAACTTGGCCTAAATATAACTAAATGTTTAGTGCATGCCAAATGTTTGACAAATTGTATAAACAGTGAGATATATTTTTTGAGGTGGATTGGTGTGATGGTGAACTGGTCATATATGTAATTTCTCTCTCTCTCTCTACTCGATTATCTCTCTATTTTCTCCTCTCTTTTTTCTTTTTTTTTTCTTCACTCTTCTCCAACATGTATTAATTAAACATCACAAAGTTCCTAATTAATTGCACAAAAGAAAATTTTTTAAATAAATAAACAAACCAGTTATAAGAACAAAAAATAGATCAAAATATATATTTGTTAATGGTGTGTTTGGTTAGGGAATTTGGGGAGGAATTTGAAAAGAGAAAGGGAAAAGGTGTGTGAAATTATGTGAAATATATACATATTTTATTCACATTTCACATAGTTTCACACACCTTTTCCCTTTCTCTTTCCAAATCCCTCCCCAAATCCCTCAACCAAACACACCATAAAGGAATAAAGGTGTGTGGAAGGAGGGTTTCGGTGGTGTGTGTATAAGGATAAGAGTTAAGGTATAATTTGACCATCAAGTGTGTGAAATGAGAAGAATAACCAAACATCAAATTAATAAGTATGCGCACTAAGAAATGATGTGTACTGAGGTATGTAAATGTGTCGAAACAGAATTTTCCAATGATCTTAAAAGATGGATTTGGAGATTTTTTTTATTTTTATATTTAATTTTTTAATTCCCAAATTATGTGAGGCATATAAATTTTCTATATTTGATTTAAATTGAAAAAATAAGAAATTAAAATTGAGTGTATGGAGCTCTCACATCCCTTCTCATTAAAAATCCTATTTTCCTTAAAATATAGTATAGATTTCCTACTTAAAATTATTTTATATAGATGAATGTAACCTTAGGTTAAAGCAATGTTTTGATTGACTGCAACAAAATTTCAAAGAAGAGTTCTCGTCATTGAGTGTTTGCATTTGTGTTTATCTTTGTTTCACGATCTTGCTTTCTTGTACGTTTCCCTTGCATCTCACATTTCTACATGTTTCATAAAAATGTTTACAGCACAGGAAGACAAGAAAATTACCATTACTAGCAAGGGACGCTTGTTGTTAGTCATCTTGCTTACAGCAACAGCCATAATTATTCTCATACTGAGTTCTACAATGTGGTATCTGCGAAAGAGAGTTCTTGGATGTATAGGTAACTTCCTCTTGATATGAGAATTTAACATTTATATATAACTATGGCATGGGAAAATTTGCATGTTCCATTTTCATTTTTTTTCCTATTAATTTTGTGAATGTTCGTTATGTTTACAGGATTAGCGGATGAACAGAAAGAATCACAGTCCAAATTAAGAACTACTATGGCATCTATTGAAAATACTAATGTTCCTCAAGTGTTTAGTTTCACAGACATTGTAGTGGCTACTAATAATTTTTCAAATGAAAATAAGCTCGGAGAGGGTGGATATGGACCTGTTTACAAGGTAATATAGACTAGGATTTGAATGATATTGTATAATATGGTTGAAATGACTTTTGGGTGTTGGGGGTGGTTTTTATTTCCTTTGCTTTTTGTTTGTTCGGTTGGTTTCTCTCCAGCCATGGTGTAGTGCTAATAGATGATTGGCTTGCTTTCTGGTTCCAACCTAGTTGGAATCGTCTAGTTTGCTTTGATACTTTGGTATTCGCCTCCCTTTATTGATGTTCATCTTTGTATTTTGTACATTTGATTTTCATCAATAAATTTTCTTTTGCTGATCCAAAAAAAAAAAAATCGGTCAATATTTACTATCTTATGAGGTGTAATAGCGTTTTCCCTAATAAATATACATTCCCTTTCGTCCTCAAGGCTTGTGGTAGACTTGGGTTGATTGAAAAAGGCCTTGAAATTCATTGTTTGAGTGAGAAACTCGGGCTTGAATTCGATGTTTTTGTGCAAAATGAGCTGATATCGATGTATTTTCAGTGTGGTTTTGTTGAATTTGGGCGGAGGGTGTTTGATAAGGTTCCGGGTTTGGTTCGGGATGTGTGACTTGGAATAGTGTGATTTCTGGGTGTGTACATAGTGATTGCTATGCCAATGCATTGAAGGTGTTTGAGGAATTGTTGGGTGATGGTAATGTGAGGCCAAATCAGGTTACTATGGTGAGTGCTTTGGTCTTGAAAATCTCTAGAAATTTTTCATGGACTAACCAAGAAAGATGTCTTTTCAGGGACCGTGATGATATCAGGGCTTGCCATGAATGGGCAGTCTGAGAAGGCATTGCAATTTTTTTCTCAAATGGAATTGTAAAGTGATGTCAAGCCAAATGAGGTCACAGTCCTTGGGGTCTTGTCTGCTTGTAGTCACAGTGGATCCATGGATAAAGGGTTTTACTATTTCGAAGCAATGATTAGATGCTATGGTCTCACCCCTCGGCTTGAACACTGTGGGTGCATGGTTGATCTTCTTGGTCGGGCAAACCTTTTGGTTGAGGCAGTGAAGTTTATGAAGTCACTTCCCATTCGATCTGATGTGGTTATGTGGCAATCCCTACTTTTGCATGTAGGAGTCATGGGAATGTAGAACTGGCCGAGTTTGCAGTGAACAAAATTGAAGAATTAGAACCTAGAAAGTGCAGGGCACGTGTTCGTTTGTCTAATGTTTATGCTTCTGCCTCTAGGTGGAGTGATGTGAAGTGGGTAATAAGGAAAAACATGTTCGTTCATGGAACCCAAAAGCCACCTGGATGCTCTTTAGTTGAAGTAAATGGTCTTGTTTCCGAATTCTTTGTTTCAGATAGTTCGCATCCTCAAATTAATGACATATCTGAGACAATTTTTGGAATTAATAAAATTCTACAATCTGATAGTTTTGATTTAAATATATTAGATTATCAAGAACAATGGGATGGGGTGTAACTAATTTGGATTGTGATGATCTTCCTAATTTCCTTGCCATATGATATGTACTCATGCCGAGCCGCTTGTGATTTGATGCCATAGAATTTATTTACTCTGATCGTACATCAGTGTTTGAAGATGAGGCTTATGATTAAATGAACATTGAAAGACCAGTTTCCTGAGAAAGTTTGTACTGCAAAATTTGCATGAGTAGATGGTCTGAGATGTGGATTTCATCAATAATGCATGGGTACATTTTTCAGTTCAGTAACATAGGAAACGGCGCCAAATTGTGTGGGTGATTTTCCGACCACACTGCCCGCTT